TGATAAGGTGGTAACCGTAGTACCGTTATTTGGCGATTTGTTGCCATTTCATCGATAACATATTTTTTCTGATCTTTATTAAGATTGACAAGTGTCAAAAGTTCCTTTTTCACCATATTTGTTTCAAAAGAAATGTTTTTTCCGGATAACCATTGAATTATATCGGCTTTCCTCCAAGCAGTCGTAGGCGTCCGCTCGGTCTGCCGTGAATGGTAACTGGCATTATCCATGACAATTACAGACCCCGGAGGAATAAGATCCAACATCTGTGTAAAATACTCTTCGAAAACATCTGCGTTCATGTCTTCGTGATAGTCACCTGTATTTTTAGATTCAAATAAAAGTAAACCGCCATCTACAAAACCACTGGCACTACCTATATGTGTCACTATTAATCTTCGCCCTTTACCTGAAGGTGCCTTGAACCCTGTTGAAAGTCCATCCAAAAATGCTTGTCGAAAACTTTTTACATTTTTATCTTGCCATACTTTTGTTACAGTATATCCCTCGTTGACCCAAGTTTCGTCTAGATAATAAATATTCCTCCCTTCGTCACGGAATTTTCTAATTGATCTTAAGTAGGATCTTCGCCAACAAATAATTTCATCTTTATCGATAAGAACTGACTTCCTGTTCTGCTTTTCCCAGCAAAAATTCAACTCTCGTAAGACGGCCCATAATTTGCTTCTACTGATTTTTGGCAAATCGTTGTCCTCTGAAAGTTCACTTAAAATTTTGTTTAGCGTTGGTATTTCTTTTTTAAAATAAAATGAGTGTACTTTTCTGCGAATGACATTTTTGAAGAAATCATCTATAACGACTTTTGACCTCCCTGTAGATGATTTTGGGGGATTTACAGTATCTTGTTCATTTTTTGTTTCCTTTAAAAGTCTGTAGATAGTCGATTTTCCAATCCCTGTCATTTTTGTTAGCATTAGTGTTACCCGATAATTACCTGAAACGAAATATTACCACGCCCATGGCCGGTTCTTATCTCGGGGTTTTATTACTCTCTTTCATTTCCAAACAGAGTATAGATGAATTTTGCGCAGTTCTACTAAAACTGCAATCGACAACCGGTTGCTCACGTCCAGATGCATTGTAATTTTTTTATTTACCACAATTAATGAATCATTCTCTCTTGAATGAGACCATTTTATTCAATTTCAGTGATTATTAAATTGTTCTCAAAAAATTTGGTAGCTAGCCCACTTGTGAAAGATTAACTGCGCGTGTGACACGATAAACGCCTACTTTGATACTTTTGATAATTGTTTCGAAGTTGTTTCAATAACAAAATACACGTACAAAATTAATTACTATAATAATACCCTTGATGTGGAGTGATATAGACACTTACAAGTCAATTCAGTTATCACATACATTAACATTGGCGCCGATTATATCGGCATAAGGTGATATTGGTATCTCGAAGATTATCTAGCTTTGTTTTTCATATACCAGACAGGAAGTTCGAGGAACAAATGTCAAAATTCTCGTCAAAGAACTTGTGTCGAGGCGTCTAGTTGAATAAGAAGCACAAAAATGGGTGATAATTAGTGCTAATATTTATTATTTAGCCTACCAAAGTTGCCAGAGAATGTTAATCGTGCTATAAAACTTTGATTGCACAATACGTTACAAAAATGAGTTTCGGAAAAAATTTATTAGACAAATATTACTTTTGACAAATTAAGGAGATATATTGGGGTCCGAGGGAAGTGAGGATCGCAGGGGGGGTCCTATGCTGTTCTTATGGGACTAAAACTCGCTACCAACTTGAAAAAAATAAGCTATTGAAATTATTTGCGATAAACATTATCTATATAGCAAAGAAATCTACTCAATATGCACAAAACATACATATTGAAAATTTACAATATAAAAATGTCATATTTAAGTAGTTAATTGTATTTAATGAATGCATAAACACTATGTAGATGTGGCAACAGCGCTAATAATCGAGTGCAGTTGTAGACACTGTGAACCTACAGACCTCGGACATCGGAGATATTGCGCGTCAAATTCGGGTAAAGATGCGTACTCGTTCAAAAATGTATTGTGTGTAAACTATGTAAAATATAATTATTATATATAGCAAATATATCGTATTATTCTCGCGAAGACTTGTATCCTTTATTTAAAATCCGTAAATCATGTGAACTGGTAAAACAACGAGAAAATAATTATGTTAATTTAGTTCTAAAGAAATGAAATGACACTAGCGCCCATCTCTCGTCCAAGTCAAAGAAAGTGTTGGATGCAATTTTGAAGGTTCTGTGATAGAAATTACATTATTACTCACTGTTCGTGTTTTTCATCTCTATTTTAGTAATGTTACAAAAGTTTTACAACTATAACAAATTTTTTAGATATAAAGTTTGCTGAGAAATATTTATCTTCCTTTGTTATTATATACAAAAGCATTTTTCTCAAGTATTACTAATTAGGTATATTAATCAAGTAAAGAAAATTTTATGTAACCCTAAATATTGCTGGGTACGGATTACGATGTTTTTATAAACCATTAAATATATTAAATGGATTTACCAACTATTTTTTATTCCAATAAATATATCATAGTTTCCTAGCCTCTTTTAATTAATTTAGTTTAAAAACATTACAAAAAATAATCAGTTGTGAATATTTTATTGTTGATAACAATGTACATGGGATTTAGGAAAAATGTATATGTTTGAAATCAATTTCATTCTTATCAAGTCTTTCAAATGTATTCCCTCCTTGCTGTCAGCTGATTGCGACGTTGCCACATTAATCCTCAAGTCAGACAGAAATGCAATTATTGGTTTCTGTTTCTAATTAATACAGCTCTACTATGTTCAAAACTTACATTAGTTTTACATTAAGAATAAGAATACTGTGTACTATCTATGGAGAACTTTTGTTTCACAATTTCTACATTTTTTCTCAGTTATGGGCAAAAAAGAGCCGCACTGTCCATCTTTGTCATATAAACCTATGTTAAAATGAACAACTTTCAACAACAATATCTCAAAATCTAGATTCAAAAAAAATTCAAAAAATATGACGCACAGAGGGAGCACGGTAATACGCTATATAGATTTCAAGTACATCTGTGCATTTTAAACCCGATATACCTCCTTAAATGGGTACGTAGTTAACATTTTGATGCTTATTTCTGGAACATCCTAAATAAATATCCTGTAAATAAAAAAAAACATTTCCTTTCGTCACAATAAGAATCTGTCGGGGGGGTTAATTTTATAAATTTAGGAATATATCATCGTTAAAATAAATGATTCTCAATGAAAGTTCTACATCTACCTAGGAAAGATTGTTATTTTTAATCATCTTGGCGAAAGCTAGCGAAATAATTCCTCAGATGGATGGTTAAGGAGAGGTGCGAGCAATGACCTTGTTGCAAAATGGAAGGCGTTGTTAATCATTTCGTAGCAAAAAAAATTAGAAGTTCTCCTTCCGAAAACTTTTGCTGGAAACAAGTAAAAGTTTTGGGAGCCTTTATTTTTTATTTTTAATATAAATTAGTTCTATCCAATCGTAACAAGTGCTGCAATACACGGCCCTCTAGATTTGCCGCGACTCGAGATAAAAAGAGGACAATGTTATCTACGTAGGCGGACCCATTGTACTCGTAAAGCATCATTGCGATTATTCTACTTAAATGTAACGAGTCGTAAATAAACTCGGATGATACTCGTGTCATGGGTAACACCTCGTGACTCCCGACGTCCAAAGTTCGCGCAGAGAGAATCCGAATATCATCCCACATTTGAAATATAGACGCGCGCGCGATAAAGTAGACAGTTTTGCGAAAAGCCGGTGCTGTATTGCTGACGATACAACTCGTATAAGCCATATAATTTCAGGCTAAATTGTTTACTACCTTTTAAAAAACGTTCCTCCACTTATAAAATAGTTGCACATAACTTTGAGATATAGCTTTTTAGGTAATTAACGACAGAACCAAGCAGATTCTTGAGAAGTTTCATTAGTTTTGTTTTTCTGTATTGGAATAGGCACATAGTTCGACAATTTGCGTCAATTGTTTTTTTTCTGACAGAACTGACATTTGTTTATAGGTTATGTAAATTAATTTGCTTCATTACGTCAGTTATCTATCGAGCAATGCAATTAGTACCTACTACCTGTTCTTATAAGTTATACAGTGTGTTTCACTTTAAACGAATATATACAGAGCAGTAATTTTCTATATAAGGTCGTAAGAATAATAAAATAAAGAAATAATAAAGTAATAACTTTATATTAAATTGTACGCCCTCCTATTTTGTGTTATTGTATGATCCCATTCTGGACGGTATGCCTTAAGTATCGCAGACAGAACTAGAGATAACGAGGACTATGCTATCTAAGTAAAGGACCTCTTGTTTGTACGCAGCCTATCATCGTGGCTAAATAAATACTAACGAACTCCAATGAGTTCGGATATGATAATTCGTGTCGTGGAAAGTCCCTCGCGACTCCCTACGTCCAAAGATCGCCCCGAGAGAATCCAAACCAAACTGGCGCTTTAACCGCATTTTTAAACCGGTCCAAGGTCGCAACATGTGTATTTCGGTGATGGAGATCGCGACACGCGCTTGTCCTACGTAAGAGCAGGGGGTAGGCTTGACGTAGATGTGAAAAATTTACTTTGAATTTCATTGGTGGCCCATATAAATCCAGGACTAATATACTTTAGATTACGTCTATTCAATTCTCTAGATTCCTGGATTATTAGAAGGTTTCCTTTTTCGTCCAATTAGATTACTATTATTAAAAAATGCACACTCGGTCTTTACTTATAAAATCAGCAAATTCAGATGAGCGGAAATCCTAAGACACGCATAGCAGATCGCGCATCATTTTCGGTCTGCAGAAATTTGCGCAAAGAAATATTTGTCGATTTTGTTTAGTATTATTAATTAACGCTATTAGAATTTAGCTAATTTTACTTTACGAGCTGCCTTCTGAAGTTTTGATAATTGTTTTTCTTTCAGAAATTACTGCCACAAGTCTCACTCATTCTAAGACAGCTCAGTGACGCTTCGACTGACCTGAAAGCGATTTTGGCGGCTAAAATTCCAAAAGAACAAGAACGCGTCAAGGGTTTCAGGAAAAACTATGGCAATACCAAAGTGGGAGAGGTGACTGTCGATATGGTAAGTAAAATATGTTATCTACGAGTATTCCCAACTGACACCAAGTGCCCCGCCCTCTGGCGGAAATACTACCATTTATTGAAAGCACATAGAACGTATACGCGCATCCGAGGTCATATCAAGATCAATTTTTTTAAATGGCGACCCTTCTTTTCGACCCCGGAAATGGAAAGAGCAGAAAATTCTGCATCCGAATATAACAATGACCATGACCTCAAAGTCAGTTCAAGGTCAAACGTTAATTTTTACTGTAATTTTTTATTTTTAACTATCGTATCAAAGGGAGAGATAGTCTTTCAGTAGATTCCCGATGGTACTCCTTAGTGACCTTGATCTTGAGGTCAAGGTCAAAAGAACATGTCAAGGTCATATCGGCTTTTGAAGTAGCGACCTCTTATTTCGACGCTAGAAATAAGAGATCGTAGAATTGTACATGTTATTATGATCTTAAACGTGACCTGAAGGTCAGTGGTCCAGGTCAGGTAGAGGTCAAGTGATTATTCCTATAATTTTTATTTTCGACTCACAATTTTTTAGTGACTTGCAAAATTGTGGTGTGCGCTTTATTTACATTTAATTATATTCGGGAGAATGGATATTAGCATTTAATATGTCTCTTTCGTTTGAATCGCCAACAAGAGATCTTTAAATGTGTTCGAAATAAAATGTTATTGGAAAGTTGTGGCACCCAAAAACCAATCGGGTAGATAATAATAAGCAAATACTTTTCAACGGAAACCATTATGGTGAATACGTCGTGACTAATGTGTATTTCATTACCATTACCTGCATTATCAATTAAACAACCATTTATTTTATAATTTCCTTCTAAATTTCTAATCACATTAATTACTCAGAAATAACAAAATCATTATTGTAACTTGATAACGACACATAATCAATAGAGTTGCATACAAGTAGTGATGTAAATGGTAAAATGACAAATTGTTACTTACATAAATTACTGTAAAATTACCGTAATATTACGCACCGCGAGATAACGGATGTAATTTATGTAATTTTTGTGACTTACGTAAATTACGTAATTTACTGTAATTAATGTTAATTTACACTTAATTTTAAATATCGCGCCAATTTCAATTTTGACATTTAAGGTTTTATAACCTTTCCTTTATTTTAGCAATATTTAGCATTCATTCTGAAGAGTATGGTGATAGTGAGGATGAGGACCAGTATTATACAAGCTCTAATAGCTGTTTTACATTGACAATTTATTCATGAATAAATTAACTAAGTTCTTCATGAATTAAATCACGAATTTATTGGTAAACAGTGTGATTTTACACTGCTACAGACTTTGTCAAGTTTTTTGACGCATAAATCAGTTCTACCAACAAATCAAAGAAGCAAATAAACTTCAAAAATGTCACCTTTCCACTCATAATTGTAGTGACACAACAGCGGTACCGTTTTGACACATATATATAAACATTAGTTTTTGTAAGTAACAAATCAGTAAAAACAATGCAAAACTAGTACGACGCCACACAATTATTTACATATTCCAATAACATAACCCCATTACTGATCTGAGGCTGGAAATCTGTTGGGTTGGTACTTCTGAACTTCACGAAGAAATTGAGGAAAATTAGAGCATGTTCTAATTCGTCAAGAACTTGATGAATAAATTCATGAAGTTATTTGACAGTAGACAAGAAATTCTACAAGTGTAATGCACCAAGCAATACACTTGTCCAATTTCGTGATGAAGCGACTTCATGAATTAATTCATCAATAAATTGTCAATGTAAAACAGCTATAAGAATAAGGTATTACCTGAAAGAAATGAAGAATTTGAGGCAAATGTAATGAAAAAAGGCGTGTTATTGTTATACAAAATATTTCACTTGAAAAGGTTTGTTTTTCGTTGTTGCATTTTTCGTTCATAATTTTGACTAAAATTTAGTTGACCATACAAAGACCGAACTGACAGAAATAGATAGAACGAAAGAGGTAGAAAAGGAAACAGAAATAACGACGAAGAATTAAAAACTGTTAATTGTAATACATTCTACCAAAAAAGGCCTATGTCCCAGAAAAACAAATGCTTAAAAAAACGAAAGCTGTTTTAAATAGAAACCTAAATATTTGTATTTAGATTTGATTTATTTTATTTTTACTGCTGCACTTATATGAATATTACTTATATCAGTAAAAATTTTAAGTTTTTGCATAAAAATCGACAAATATTATGTTTTAATCATTGAATTGCAGGACTAGTTTTATAGTACTGAGAAGCTAAACAAGCTGAGTAGGTACTCTTTAAAATGTCGTAAAATTTAAATGTCATAAATTACATAAATTACAAGCTAATTTCTAAATTACATGAAATGTTACCAGTAAAATTACATATTCATAAATTACAAGTAATTTTACATTATTACATATAAGCGTTGAGCCTATTTTTCATTCAACTTTAAAAAGTATAAAGTAGGTACTGTCGTGATTGTGACGTCAGTATGGAAACAACTGTTTTTGCAGTATAAAGTACGATTATTTTATGTTTTTAATATTATTTTTGTTAAATTTCAAGAATCAAAGCCTTTGCTGCAAAGATTTACTTTGATTGTTTGTCGTTCGTGTACAAATCGATACAATATTACGTGGTTAAAGCGATACAAGGAAATGCGATTGGAGCCAAAGAAAGGTTAGAATTAAAACCTTGTTCAAATATTTTTAAATAAAAAAGTGTCTCCCAAAGTACATGCAAGAATTGATTTTGATTGAAAAACGCAGGTTTTTAATTAAACATTAATCAGTCGTATCAAAATAACACAATTTTGATATAATTTTGAAATTACTGATTTTGTGAAACATCTCGGACACCAGTTTTCTTTCTAAATTATATCTAATGGATTACATATGATCTGATCGTTAAAAAAGCAATTAAACTTTTGTCCCTGCATGCCCTCTATGCGACACCGATCAAGCTAAACGTTTTGTGCACGAAAATAGAAGAGCACGCTATGTAACAGTAATCACACACATTAATAATACAAAGTTTATTATCTACATGCACTATTTGTCAGCAAATCGACATTTATCCGACATTCGCTAGAGGTCAAAATTAATCTCGAATCGTTCATTGTCAATCCAATGTCTTCCACATAATCAGCTTTGTTTAAAGGACAATCGCGAGCTCTGCGGGGATATAAGCACAAATAACAATTGCACGTCGAGGTTTGATAAAATTTTGATTAGATGGTCGTGCTGAGCGGGCCGCAGTTTTGGCGAAATAATGATTTTCGTGGGCATGGAGTGTCTTTGTTTCGACCTTGCTGTTGGGATAACTGATGAACTGTAGATAAATTCAAGTGTAAATAGAAGCCTAATGTCTAATGGTGGTGCGACTGGTAGGCCCCACTTATTCAAAGGACGCGTGAAAATTAAACAATAAAAAAATGTTATGGCCAGATGGATCATCGAAAACGTTAAAATTTGTCAATTTTTTCAGTTGAGTAGCTGCAGATGTAGAAGTTAACTTTTTTTTTTTCTGATAGCTCAGAAACAACGAACATTTTGTCATATAATAAGGACATTTAAACTACACTCTTTTTATAAAATTTATCGCTAAAAGAAGGGGGTCGTCCCTCGACGACAAAGAAAATTGAAATGTTCCATTCCCAACTAAATATATATTTTGGTTGAGGGCTTGAAATAAATAATTGTTTTGATACCGTATTTATTTGTAAACGACATAATATGAGAATTCAGGTCAATGATCAAGGCATCCTGTTCTCTTATGTTGTTGACGAAGCCAGTATGGAATTCCACTATTGCATTTTCACCATACAATATTTTTTACATTATAAGGCGAATTAACCGCAAATACCTTTTTCATCGTTCATTCATACCAGGGGCGAACGCTGGGGAAGGGGGGAGAAGGTTTTGGAGGTTCAGAAGTAGATATTTAACAATTTGAAAAAAAAAACGAAATAATTGGAAATTGGAAGAGATCTGCGAAGCAAAAAATTGGAAAGATTGAAGAAACTCGACAAAATCACTCGAAAAAATACTTTTTTTAAATATTATATTCAACATCTACAGGATTACATTTACCCCTTACTACCATTTGTGCTTACAGGAACGATTCGGTCTTTCAATTTTACTAAATGTCGGAAAGAAAAGTAGGTAATTTATCATTATTTCATTCTTAAAACTGTGGGTAATTAAGATAATTAGAATTGAGCTTGTGTCAGCAACAAAATCCCAGTGAAACGTCAATACTACGTAACGATAATTAACATTGTATCTTTTTATGGTTTGTGGTTTAATTTATATGCTTTCGTTTGATTTCTGCAAGGACAGTCTATTTCAACTTGAGCGGTAAAAAAAATACGTTTTTATTTTCAGCTACTTTTGCTGTGCGGTCCACTTCAGAAGAACTGCTTTGTGGTCTTCCTTAGAAAAGGAATTTTATGCCAAGATCGTTGCGTGACCAAGTTTTCACAGAGCTACCGTATTGCGTTATGTAAATGAGCATGTAGTTATAAAATAACATGCGACTTTTTACTGAAAAATTGCATATATCGTCAATTATAATACTCAGTGATATGAATAGTTCAATAAATTAACATACTAGAAGTAATAATTGTTCAGTTTGTAATTTAATACTGTCAATATACAGGGTGTTTCTAAAATAACATGGCCAGACTGAAATGTAAGATAGGAAATATGAACGGAGGAAAACGCTCTAGTGGAAACCGTAGAAATTAATAGATTTATAGAATCCTACCTAAAAAGTCAATGCAGAGATTCTTGTGATACAATCCAAGCATATTTAAACCCTGTTCGCACTTCATACATTAATTAATCCGCTAATACTTGATCTGTATTAGTAGTCGAGGCAATGAAGCACTAAAAAGGCCAAAAGTTCGGAATTTTTTGCATTCGCTTCCAAACATTTTTTGTAAAAAATGCATCTACTTTGTATCTTATACAAACCTAAAATTGCATTGCTGCAGCCAAAAATGCATTCAAAAAATGCATTTTTTGAGACAGCTTTTGGACAGATTTAATAACTTTGTAAATAAGAGTCAGAACTGGCCCAAATCGGGTTCCCGGGGGGTTTTCGAGGTCGCTGATCACGATTATGATGTTCAAATTGACGCACAACCGACCTGGAACTCAGGAACGCCAATGAACGTTATCTCCGTGGGTCTCTCCCAAAATTCATGCGGGGAAGGAGAGAAACTCCACGCCCTGGGGTTTTTTGGGTCGCTGAATTCAAATATGGCATCGGCAAACACCTGGTGCACCGGAACCTGGACGTGGACGTCATCCCCGAGAATTTTCCTGACAAGATCGCCAAAAACAACCCGAAAATCATTGTAGGGGCGTTTTGGGGGGGCGCTTAATCCAAATTCACGTCGAAAACAATCCCCCGAACACCTGGTGGAACCACAGCCGAAAATCGTCTCATAATTTGACACATTCATTTGTTTTCGACGTGAAATTTGGATTAAGCGCCCCAAAAACGCCCCTACAATGATTTTCGGGTTGTTTTTGGCGATCTTGTCAGGAAAATTCTCGGGGATGACGTCCAGGTTCCGGCGCACCAGGTGTCCAGGGGGTGTTCGCCGATGCCACATATGAATTCAGCGACCCAAAAAACCCCCGGGCGCCGAGTTTCTCTCCTTCTCCGCGTGAATTTTGGGAGAGTCCCACGGAGGTGACGTTCAGGGCCAGGTTCCGGTGCACCAGGTGTTCGGGAGGTCGTTTTCGACGTGAAATTCGGATTCAGCCCCCCAAAAAAAAACCCATAACGATTTTCGGTTCGTTTTTTTCGATTGTGTGAGGAAAACCCTCGGAGATGAGGTCCGCGTCCAGGTTCCGGTGCACCAGGTGTTCAGGGGGTCGTTTTCGACGTGAAATTTGGATTCAGCGCCCCAAAAAACGCCCCCACAATGATTTTCGGGTTGTTTTTGGCAATCTTGTCGGGAAAACTCTCGGAGATGACGTCCACGTCCAGGTTCCGGTGCGCCAGGTGTTTGCCGATGCCATATTTGAATTCAGCGACCCAAAAAACCCCCGGGCGCCGAGTTTCCTTCCCCGCGTGAATTTTGGGTGAGTCTCACGGAGATGACGTTCATCGGCGTTCCTGAGCTCCAGGTCGGCTGTGGGTCAATTTGAACATCATAATCGTGATCAGCGACCTCGAAAACCCCCGGGAACCCGATTTGGGCCAGTTCTGACTCTTATTTACAAAGTTATTAAATCTTCCAAAAGCCGTCTCAAAAAATTAATTTTTTGAATGCATTTTTGGCTGTAGCAATACAATTTCCGGTTTGTATAAGATACAAAGTAGATACATTTTTTACAAAAAATTTTTGGAAGCGAATGCAAAAAACCGCATTCCGATCCGTCATAGTGCAAAAAATACCGAACTTGGAAAAATTCGTTAGATATAGCGTAGCTAATAAAACCAATGATAGATGTTGGCAACCTTAAAATAGAACCACTTTATTTTGGCAAAGCAATAAAAGACATAAAAGACTGCTAGCAAATTCAACAAAAAAAAAACGAAAATAAAACTGATTTTGCCCTGCAGATGTACGGAGGCATGAGAGGGATCAAAGGCCTCGTGTGCGAGACCTCCGTCTTGGACCCCGACGAGGGCATCAGGTTCAGAGGCCTGTCCATCCCCGAGTGCCAGAAGGTGTTGCCCAAGGCCCCCGGCGGCAGCGAGCCGCTCCCCGAAGGCCTCTTCTGGCTGCTCATCACCGGCGACGTACCCACGGAGGCTCAGGTGAAGGCCATCTCCAAGGAATGGGCGGAACGCGCCGAACTTCCCGCCCACGTCGTCCAGCTGCTCAATAATCTGCCCACCACCGTGCACCCCATGTCCCAGATTTCCGCCGCCGTCACCGCTTTGAACACCGAGAGCAAGTTCGCCAAGGCCTATTCTAGTGGCGTTCACAAATCAAAGTACTGGGAGGTAAGATCCGTTTATTTAATCATTCGTTTCAAACGGCCATAGAATACGATGTGATTTTTTTACGTTTTTACACATTTTCCAGTACGTGTACGAAGACGCGATGGATCTGATCGCCAAGCTGCCCGTCGTGGCGGCCACCATCTACCGCAACACCTACAAGGACGGCTCCGGCATAGGCGCGATCGACACCTCCAAGGATTGGAGCTACAATTTCACCCAAATGCTGGGCTACGACAATCCCGAGTTCATCGAGCTCATGAGACTCTACCTCACCATCCACAGCGACCACGAGGGCGGCAACGTGTCGGCCCACACCGTCCACCTGGTGGGCTCTGCCCTCAGCGACCCCTACCTCTCCCTATCGGCGGGACTCAATGGACTGGCTGGACCTCTCCACGGCCTCGCCAATCAGGAGGTGAGTGGGCATGCCTTCTGTTAATTTTGAATTTTGTGATTTTTTAAGACAGAATTTCAACCTTAAACTTGATATTCCAATATTTAGTCCGGAATCACTACTTTAAATCTGGAATTCCGATCTTAAACTCCGAATTTGAAAAAATTTTTTTAATTTTATTTGTTATTAACTACAACGAAAGATAATTTCTTGTTTGAAATTGAAATTTGTATTCCTAGACGCAATTCCAATTTTGAACTCAGAATTCTGACTGAGCTCAGAATTTCAATTCTGAACTCAGAATTATGACTGAACTTTGAATTTTAACTTTAAACTCGATATTCCAATATTTAACCCGGAATCACCACTTTAAATCTGGAACTCTGATCTTAAATTCTAAAATCCGAATTTGAAAAAAGTTACATGTTTTTTAAAAATTTTAATTGTTAACTGCAACGAAAGGTAATTTCTTGTTTGAAATTGAAATTAGTATTCCTAAGCGGAATTCCAATTTTGAACTCGGAATTCTGACTTTGATCTCAGAATTCCAATTCTGAACTCAGAATTATGACTGAACTTTGAATTTCAATTTTAAACTCGATATTCCAATTTTTAACCCGGAATCACTACTTTAAATCTGAAACTTTGATCTTAAACTCTGAATTCCGAATTTGAAAAAAGTTACACATTTTTTTGATTTTATTTGTTGTTAATTGCAATGAAAGGTAATTTCTTGTTTGAAATTGAAATAAGTGTTCCTAGTCGGAATTCCAATTTTGAACTCGGAATTCTGACTGAACTCAGAATTCCAATTCTGAACTCAGAATTATGACTGAACTTTGAATTTCAATTTTAAACTCGATATTCCAATTTTTAACCTGAAATCACTACTTTAATTCTGACTGAGCTCAGAATTCCAATTCTGAACTCAGAAATCTGACTTTGAACTTTGAATTTCAACTTTAAACTCGATATTCCAATATTTAACTTGGAATCCCCACTTTAAATCTGGAACTCTGATCTTAAACTCTGAATTCCGAATTTGAAGAAAGTTATACATTTTTTAAATTTTATTATTTTGTTAACTGCAACGAAAGTCAATTTTTTGTTTGAAATTGAAATTAGTATTCCGAGTCATAATTCCAATTTTGAACTCAGAATTCTGACTGAGCTCAGAATTCCAATTCTGAACTCAAAATTATGACTTTAAACTTTGAATTTCAACTTTAAACTCGATATTCCAATAATTAGCCCGGAATCCCTTCTTTACATCTGTAACTTTGATCTTAAACTCTGAATTCCGAATTTGAAAAAATTTACACATTTTTTAAATTGTATTGTTCACTGCAACGAAAGGTAATTTCTTGTTTTAAATTGAAATTAGTATTCCTAGTCGGAATTCCAATTTTGAACTCAGAATTCTGACTTTGAGCTCAGAATTCCAATTCTGAACTCAGAAATCTGACTTTGAACTTTGAATTTCAACTTTAAACTTGATATTCCAATATTTAACCTGGAATCCGCACTTTAAATCTGGAACTCTGATCTTAAACTCTGAATTCCGAATTTGAAGAAAGTTACACATTTTTTTAAATTTTATTTGTTAACTGCAACGAAAGGCAATTTTTTGTTTGAAATTAAAATGAGTATTCCGAGTCATAATTCCAATTTTGAACTCGGAATTCTGACTGATCTCAGAATTCCAATTCTGAACTCAGAATTCTGTCTGAACTTTGAATTTCAACTTTAAATTCGACATTGCAATATTTAACCCGGAATCCTTATTTTAAATCTGGAACTCTGATCTTAAACTCTGAATTACGAATTTGAAAAAAGTTACACATTTTTTAAAATAAAAAAATAAAAAATTTGCATTTTAACTGCAACGAAAGGCAATTTCTTGTTTGAAATTGAATTTAGTATTCCGTGTTAGAATTCCAATTTTGTACTCAGAATTCTGACTAATCAGAATTCAAATTCTGAACAGTGATTTTTTTTTACTTTAAACTTCAAATTCTGAAAGTTAACTCGGAATTTCGATTTTGAACTTGTAATAATGACTAAAAACAAATTTATTATTCTACTTCTTTTAGATTTCATGATATTTACGAAAATCAAAATTGGACATTTTTTTTTACTTTTTTCGTTGTCAAGTACAAAGAAAGATCATTTCTTGTTTGAAATAATGCTAGTAGTCCGAGTCAGAAATCCATGTTTGAACTCAAAATTCTAAACTTGAACTCAGAAATACTTAAACTTTGAATTCTGGCCTTAAACCCGGGATTTCGATTTGGAATTCGGAATTCTGGCAAACTTGAAATACATTTTAAAATTTATTACTGTATGTCCTGTATAATTCGTGATATATTCAATAAAATCAAGGTAAGATATTTTTTTATATTCTTTGTTGTTAACTGCAACGAAAGATCATTGCTTATTTGAAATTTGAAATTAGTATTCCAAGTCAGAATTCCAACACTGAACTCAGAATTGTGACTTCAAACTTGGTTAACTCCATTGACTTGACACACAAATGTCAAACTGTATTTTTATGACTATCTATCATAGAGGTTGCTAGCTGTGATATTTCTCGGTCACATTTTAAGCATAATTTTTGTGAGGTTAGGTTTTCTGGCGCAGTCGATTGGGTTTTTCTCGAAAACGCTGCATTTTCATCAATTTTAGTGAGAGTTTATACCGCAGTTTATATGATTTTTCTACATTTTAGGAGTCCAGTGCTCGTTAGTGGTGATTTTTTACTTATAGAATCATCACCTCCAAAACACTGGAATATTAATCGGTTCCTAAATTTAGGTGAAGGTTAAGATAACCTTTCACTTTTTATGTACCGTACAGGCGAAATTAAGTTATATTTAATCTAAGATACGCGTGAAGAAAAATTATATATAAAACCGCCTTGCAGGTGCTGGTATGGCTGCAAAAGATACGCCAGCAGGTGGGCGACAAGGCCACAGAAGAGCAGCTAAAAGACTTCATCTGGAAGACACTCAAATCTGGTCAAGTAGTACCTGGTTACGGACACGCCGTCTTGAGAAAGACCGACCCCCGTTACACATGCCAAAGAGAGTTTGCCCTCAAGCACCTGCCCGAAGACCCACTGTTCCAGGTAGGAGAGACGACAGTCTGCAGTGTTTTGAAAGGTTTACATTTTTTTTTTTTTTCGTAGCTGGTGTCTAACATCTACAAGGTGGTGCCTCCTATTCTTTTGGAACTTGGCAAGGTGAAGAACCCATGGCCCAACGTAGACGCTCACTCTGGTGTTCTGCTTCAGGTAAGGTTTCAGTTTTAACGGGTTTCTTTGATTTGAGGGTTTTCTGATATCTGACGATAAGACACGTAAATTTCAATCACATTTTTTTGTTTGTGTTCACATCGGCAGCAACGATTTAGCGATAATGGTTTAATGAAAATTACTATTAAAGTTTTATTACTTAGTTGGAACAAGGAAGGAACATGATGCAAGTTTCTACTTTATTTTATTTTTAAATATAGATATAGTAAATTACTACCAAAATATAAAAAATATAATCAATATAATGTATGTCTACTATTTCAAAAAGCTTAAATACATTCAGAAACTTTCATATTTTCATAGGATTTGAAAGTAACAATTTTTTTTAATGATTTGAGGCTTCGCGAGCCGGGTTGAGTTCCCGCGCGCCTTATCGAGGCTCCACGCGCCAGCTCGAGGTTACGCGCGCCAGCTCGAGCCTCCGCGCGCCAGCTCAAGCCTCCGCGCGCCAAGTCGAGCCTCCGCGCGCCAACTCGAGCCTCCGCGCGCCGAGTCGAGCCTCCGCGCCAAGTCGAGCCTCAGCGTTCACAATTCTGTGCGAGGTAGTAAAAGTTGTCCAATGTTGTATTATTTTTTAAATACTCGTAATTATGTCCGCTTTCTTATGTCACTGCGACAGTTGCAATATTTTAAGATCTCGACTTTCGATATCTTAGAAAATGTTACCCATACTTGATACAACAAAATATGAAGAATATGTAGCGAATATAAAAAAAGTAAGATATAAATCTTAAAATCAGTTAATTGTAAACATTTCAACCACAAATTCTTGAACCATAAGCGTAAAAATCTAACTTGGTAAACATTTAACTAAACCCACAAAACCCAGTCCCATAAAATTTAAACCAATAAAATCTAAACCCACAAAACCTAAATCAACAGGTTTATGGTTTCAAGAATTTGTGGTTGAAAGGTTTTTACAATTAACTGGTTTTAAAAAAGTGACCGCAAAAAAAGCCATTTTTCTGCCTGTTTTTGAGACTTTAACAGAGGTGACAGGAAAAATTCTAAAAATATCCAAAAACTCGTCATGAAAAATGAAAATGAGCATCACTTTCAGTTTTTCAAAAATTTTCCAAAATCACCCTTATTTAGGGGTTGAAAAGACAAAAAAATTGAACAAATTAAGAATCATCAGCAGTTTTAAAACCCCAAATATTTCTATGTTGTATCAAAATAATATTATGAACGTGGAAATATCTAATTTTGTGTTTGATACCGTCTTGTCCGGATTGAAAATCAACCCATAATATCCCTAATGGGGTGAAATCATTCCCTAAACCCCTAAAAATGCGAAAAATATATTAAAAGTTACAATTTTTTTTTCTTTTTTACGCATATGGTTAACTTAGGGATGGTTTTATCCTCATATAGAGGTATTTTCCTTCAGATCTAGTGATTGTGGGTTATTAACGGTTCAATTATCACGTATAAAAGAAAAAGAAAACAAATTGTAACTTTTAATATATTATTTTTTGCATTTTTAGGCGTTTAGGGATGATTTCACCCCTTTGGGGATATTAAGGGTTGATTTTTAATCCGGACAAGACCGTATCAAATACGAAATTAGATATTTTCACGTTCATAATATTATTTTGATAACAACATAGAAATATTTGGGGTTTTACAACTGTTGATGATTCTTAATTTGTTCACATTTTTTGTCTTTTCAACCCCTAAATAAGGGTGATTTTCGAAAATTTTCGAAAAACTGAAAGTGACGCTCATTTTCATTTTTCATGACGAGTTTTTGGATATTTTTAGAATATTTTTAGGACTTTTCCTGTCGTCCCTGCCAAAGTCTCAAAAACAAGCGGATTTTGCGCACTTTATATCTTACATTTTTTATATTCGCTAAATATTGTTCATATTTTGTGGTATCATTTATGGGAAACACTTCTGATTATAGTTTATAAGAGTATTTAAGATATCGCAAGTTGAGGTTCTAAAATTGCAATTGTCGCAGTGATATAAGAAAGCGGACATAATTACAAGCATTTAAAAAATATATCCCAATTTGGACAACTTTTACTACCTCGCACGGAATTTTGAGCGTTTTCGACCACTGTGCGTTGGGTCGAGCCTCTGCGCGCCGCGTCGAGCCTACGCGCGCCATGTCGAGCCTCCGCGCGCCAGGTCGAGCCTCCGCGCGCCAGGTCGAGCCTCCGCGCGCCAGGTCGAGCCTCCGCGCGCCAGGTCGAGCCTCCGCGCGCCAGGACGAACTTCTGCACGTTGAGCCTCCGCACTTTGAGGTTAGAAAAAAAAACTTAAAAATATTTTTAATCTAATTATTAGTAAAGTTATCTTAAGTTTAGCGAAAATCCTTATAAATACATAATTTTTTACCTTTTTTTGAAATTTGCATCGAAATTTTTTTTTATGTTAAAAATGATAACATCTTATATTCGTAGACAACTTTGAAGTTTTCAAAACCCTGTTTAGATGTTCTGTATGATCATTAGTTCCCCATTAATTGATTGTCAAAGCCGAAAAGGTTATATTTGGTTTGATCGAAGATAACTCAAAGACAAATCATTGTACAAAGCTCTTAAATAGTTCAAACTAAAAGAGCCGACAGGTGAGATTACCAAAAAAAATAAAAAATATTGAAGCCCGTGGACCTTTTGAAAAAGAAAAAAAATTTGAAATTTTTTTTTGTTGGATTTCTTATGATTTCTTAAATATGATCAATGATATAATTTTTTAACTTTCTCATCCTGAAACTAGAAATTTCAAGCTTCAATATGTTTTTTTTTTATTGTTCTATGTCTAGTTTTCGCCAAGCTACAACTTTTTGAAAATTACCTAAAAATTTATGATTTTATTTATCCTTTAATTTATGTTACCGGTGTTTATTAAAAATAAATATAATCCTCTAAACACTAAAAGTGATACTTTGTTCCTTAAAATTAATCAAAAACAGCAGCTATTTGGATTCCAGGAAGTGCAAAATATTGCATTTGATTTACAAGAGTTTTGTACGTAAAAGTTTTAAACAAATAATAATATTCCGTCAGTTTTATAGAAATAATTTATCTCTGAAAACCCCCTCATTCATCAAGTGCACATCTCGAACCTGATAATTTTTTCCTTCCAGTATTACGGACTTAAAGAAATGAACTACTACACCGTGCTGTTCGGCGTCTCGAGAGCCCTGGGCGTGCTGGCTTCGCTCGTGTGGGACCGCGCCCTCGGCCTCCCCATCGAGAGACCCAAATCCATGTCGACTGACGGCCTGATGAAGCTCGTCAAGGCCAAGTAGAGTGATTCGAGTAGGCCCGGGACACCTGCCGCTCCTGCTGCGGACAGAACAGCAGTTTACTTAACACATCGAAACATCGAACTCGTAAGGAGCGACTTTTCCGCCGTCATATGGCAACTCGGCGGGCCGTCTCACTTAACTTTTCATCGAGGGAGTGATTGCGAGAGTGAATTCGTCTTCGTCGTCGTCTAAGGTTACCATTCGCGCAGAGTAGCAGACTCTTTTAGGCATTGTAACATGCCGGGGGGCCCGAAGGGTGGGGTTTTTGTTTCGGATCGAACCGGTCCGCTTTTAGTGCAATTTTATTTCTACGAATTAGTAAAAAAAAACAGCTTCTTTTAAATACGATACAGTTTTTTAAATTATCTTAAAATCTGCCGTTGCGTTCTCCGGGCCGCCCGGTTTCCCCCTCCCCGTTCGCTGTGCTCTGTAGTAGCTTTACCTACTTTTAAATTTGTTGATTATGTTGTTTTTATTTATTTTTATTTATGCGGAGGAGCTGCGAGAGGTGTACATTTTATTTGGAAGTAATTCGCGTACCTTAACCGTTACGTCGTGCGTAACGAGCAACTAGCGTGTCCTGTGTATTTATTTGACTACAAGATTTTTAGCCATAGATTTACCTTTAGGGATTGTAGTGTACAGTGCAGAATAGTTAATATTTTAATTAGTCGTTATTCGTAAGCTATCTCGCGACATCTTGTTAACTTGTCAATAAGTAAGACAATACATTTGTAAACAAAATTTATAATTAAATTTACCTGTTCAGTTCTGTGGTTTTTTTCATTTGTTGCATCCTTCGAACCTTTACTGGTAAGCTTTAGTCGAAACTTTGAGACTTTGAGGTTATGTTTTATTTTTGGTGATTTAAAAAGTTCGTCAAATTCACAATTCCAGGTAAGATAAAGCAGGTTCGAGTGTAATGAGGTTAATTATTTACTTTAGTGGCACCACCTCCAATTTTCACAAAATTTTGTCTACCTCCCTATTTTCGATGGTGCTGAACACGAATCTGTAGTTTTTTTTGTGCGGTCGAACCTAGTTTTCGAGAAAAAATTTTTCCAAAATTCTAACCTGGATATTTCAGATAACACTACATAGAACTCTGTATATTTTATGTAGCTTTCTAATGTTCTGAAAGCTACATAAAATATACAGAGTTCTACATAGTGATGGGAGATTTCGAGTGAAAAATCGAGTGGTACTCGATTATTGAGATCACTCGAGATGTTTACTCCCACCACTCGAGTGATTATTACCTTACGGTTGCACCCCAAAACGTTAGTGCATACTGCAAATAGTCACTGATTGCGTAACCTTTTTTTAGAATAAAACGGAAAAGTGGTTAGGTTTTGAAGTGCGTGAGCTTTTTTTTTTTTAGCTACGCTTATAAGTAATATATGACTTATATCTCATATCTCGAGTGATCACTCGATTACCGATAACTCGATTATTAAAATTGGTCGATTATGCCCATCACTAGTTCTACGTAGTGTTATCTGAAATATTCAGGTTAGAATTTTGAAAAATTTTTTTCTCAAAAACTGGGTTCGACCGCACAATAAAAAATTCAGATTCGTGTTCAGCACCATCGAAAATAGGGGGGTAGACAAAATTTTGTGAAAATTGGAGGAGGTGCCACTAAAGTAAATAATTACCAAATCATCAATCAAAAAGTCCGAGTATACGTAGAGTGTAAAGTTCAAATATGAACATAACCCTAAAATTCTGTCAACATTGAAATTTGAAGAAACCTTTCCTATTTCAATAAAATGATAACAAATAAAATTGAATCGTGGAGATGTTTAAATGGCGACAGTTCAGGAAATGTGTAAATTTTTTGAAAAACGACAAAATGGTTGTATTTTGAATTTCATGTTCTTTAATTTCATCATTTTCCTCACCACTGTCGTTAGTGACGTCACATCATACTCATGACCGAGGCCGACGAGATTCTCGTACACGGATACACGACACGTAGGTTTTTTTGTACACAACCAACCACAAAACATATAAATACACAACCAACCGTGTGACGTCAATAGTGCGTTATTTTACGATTTAAAACAGAACAAAGCGTATATTCTTTGGACATACTCATTCATAAAAAAGTTATTGGTGCATGAATCGCAAAATTAAAAATATGGATGAATTTTCTTTAAAACATAGTACGCCCTTTTCCTAGTCGATACATTCCCACTAAACATTTTTCAGTTTCTGACATGTTTCAGAAACGTTTCCATTTTTCTTGAAACGTTTCATAAAAAATCCATGCAACGTTCTGGTAACGTTCTAGAAGCCCAAGATGTCCTCCCCAAAATACGTTTCCAATGAAACGTTTCAAAAAATTGGTTTCAGTAACATTCTTTTTATGTTCCATTTATGCCCTCGATATTTTTGTTTTACGTTTCAGTATATTTTCAGAAATGTTTGAGTAACATAATAATTTTATTACCATATTGTTCTCATAATGCTCTCAACTTTAGATCATTTTCATTTCAAAAGCGTTTTTGAAATAGTATAAATAGTGTGAGTATTTTTTTAAATATCTCTAATACTCCTTTGTGATATTTTTATTTGTATTGTGAATGACTTAATTCGAACTAAAAAAAGTTACATTGTATATTAAAAAAAATAAATATGCTCTTCTAGTTTGGGGATGCGGCAACTTTTACTAAGAATTTCTTTCTTTTTGAGAAGCCACTGAAAAAAGTTTCTAATATGGATTATGAATTTTGCCATTCATCGTACAAATAAAAATATCACAAAACAATATCAGAAGCATTAAAAAAAAGCTACACATTTTATATAGTTCAAATACGCTTCTGAAATGGAAATTTTCTAATGTTGAGACCTTCATGAATATGGTAACAATGACGAACTGATAATTAGAAAAAGTTAGTTATGATTATGAATCTTAAAATGGTAGGTACATGAAAAACAAATAACATTACTGAAAAATAATATAAAGTTATAATTTCTTCTACGCATGGTCAATATTACATATATCCTTTTAATAATAATAAATTATACAGCAGAAATAAGGATACAAAATGATATCTTGACAAAGTAAATATCTGTAGGTATACCTAAACTCTTTTATTTAAGCATGCCTATACACATAAACAAATATAAACATTTGTACAAAATATAAAATAAATGACGTCTATTTCACTTGATTCATCCATATTTCAAATAGTTCTCACTGACTAAGTAGTTGCTCTTCAAATTATATCGAAACGTATAGTTGTTGTTCCATTTTCTTAGTTCTTGTCCCTTGTCCTCTTGTCTGTAATAGGTAGTGGGTATAACTATATTTAGGTAGATGTGACGCAAAATTGGAAATCTCTTTACACATATCGTTTTAAACATTTTGCATCAATATTCATTATTTTATATGCACCTTACAATAACCACAACTGCACACACTACAAATTATCACATAAAATAGCGTCAAAGTAAAGATGAATAACAACGAAACCAAGCAAACTGACAAACCGCAAACCTAACCTAACATAATACGAATTGAAACGACACACGGGAAACAAATAAACTCGGGCTGTTACGCGCAGTCTACGCAAGTCACGAACATACATTTTTTCTAGACTTGTGTTATAAATATGCTACCACATTTTTTTTTCTAATTATGTCTTTATATAACAAAGGCAAATGAACTAACGCTTGAGAAGGATTGGGGATTGAGAGCAAAATTTAACTAATGCCGAATGTTCCATAAGATAAGCAAAAATAGCAAAGGGTTGTTCGTCTGTTATGTTTCCGAGATCGAAAGGGAATGTTTCGAGTAATGTTTCAAACTCTCTTCAATTGTAACGTTTCGGCTATGTTTCACTAAATAAGTTTTCAAGTGCTACATTTCTGTAATGAAACAGAAACGTTTCTAGTTAATGTGTCAAATGTTTAGTAAAACATCTCATTTGCAACGTTCCATTTACGTTTCGTGTTTAGTGGGTTATCAGGAAAAGTATTTTGACTTTTCCTTGACAAATGTCAAAAATTTTTCAAAATTGAAGCCAGCGAGACGTGTAGTCTCCATGATTGAAGGGTTTATTGAAATATTAAATATTCTCTCATTTCTCTCTGTTAACGATTGAAGCTTGTTCGTCTCCGTTAGATGTTGCCATACCATTGAATTATTATGTTTTCGAATGAATTTGCTATTATGTTCATTCTATATTTAAGCTAACTCAATGGTTTTGCGACATTTCTAACGGAGAGTAGCAATTATTTAATAATTTTAGTGGATAATGTAGTGATTTGTACTCATAGTTGTTCACCAATCAGATACAGGTGTGTACATAATTCAATGCCGCAAGTTTCTACGTCTACCGCTTTTCGTTAGATGTCGCCTGATCATTGATTATCTATAAATCTACGTGTTTAATTCTGAGGTGAATAACTCAACAATAGTTTGAAGACAATAGAAAGAGGTAAAAGTAAAATATTAGAGTATCTTATTATTTAGATATTTGAAGTTTATTGATGCAATCATTTAAAAATTTATAGATAATTTTAGTTACCAGGGAATTTCACATGAGATTAATTAGTCAAGTTTGATAGTAGGTACTTAGCATGCGGATGTAATTATTAATATCTGTTTTTTTAATTTTCATATTATATTTCGAATATTTTAGGTAAGTAATTGCACTATATTAATAGTAATAATATATACAATAAATTGTTTACTACTTATTAACTAAAATATTAACTAAAATTTTTCAATATATTTTCATTGGATTTGACCTTCCTAAACATATTTTTAACCACTTTTTTAATTTTTGTGCCGTGACAAGAAAATCCTCTAGATTTACTAAAATGTGAATTCATCTACCCAATTTCTTAAGGTCTGTGGACAACAGGAACGTGCTCTATTTTTAAAAATTCTTTAATAAAAGTCTAATAATGTGAAAAACGGCTTTATTAAGAGCTATAAACACGACAAATATAAACATACAAATATAAATATATACACATATAAACAATGCTAACATTTATATATACATAATTTTTTATAAAACAGTAGTAGCAATATTTATGATTTCATCCATTATTAAAATATAAAATTTTTCAGAAATTTTTCTTTGGAAGGCAAGTATGTGGAAACCGTTTTATATGAACAAAATACATTAGGCAATGTAAATAATATTGGACAAATATGCCCTAGTTCGTTATATTTCTTTGAAGAAACATTTTCTAAAATAAAATTTAAAAAAAATAATTCTCGCGATAATAGCGTAATCAGGAATGCGGTAAGAAATCAGTAAGTTGACGAAAACTTTTCTAAATTGTCTGATTATGTACTAATTTAGTATATTTAGTCTTAGATATTAATACATTGCTTATTAGTTGTTGTGGAAAAATGATACAGGGTGTCCCACCAAGAATCGCCACTATTGATATCTCGGAAAGTACGTATCCGATAAATCTGAAAATTTGGCAAGCTAACAAAGGCAGTAGGGCCAACACAGCTAAAAGAGTTACTAGCATCTCCGCGGACCTTTGCATTTGTCAAATTTTTTCTTTAAAAATTAATATCTCAAATTCTATAAGGAATATTTAATAAAGTGACCCTCAAATTTCACGTAGAATCCGAAAATGCAATAATATATAGAGTGTTACATTTAAATAAGATAAACTTCTAAATATCTTACCTGTGTGGACCCTACTACCTTTGCTAGGTTGCCAATTTTTCAGATTTACCGGATCAGTATTTTCCGAGATATCGATAGTGGCGATTCCTGGCGGGACACCCTGTATATTTAAAAAAGAAGAAAAAGTATACGGCTAAAAGTCTCAAGGTTATAGGTACCTTTATTTTTATTTTGTTTATGATACGTAGATTTCAAATGTATATTATCCATTCACATACAGAATGCCTTAGAATAGAAGTCAAAAAGTTGCATAATTAGAAAATTAAAAACGATTACAGTTCTTTAAATAGGTAATTCAAATTTTGTACTATTCAAATGATATTGTCACATATATCTAGTGCTAAAATTGTATCTGGAAAATTTTTCGAGGTCACGAATATTTCAAAAATAGTATTTTAAACGGTTTATCTTATTCCACGACACCCTGTACATACCACGACACTGATGTACTACCGTCAAATAAAAACGAAAGAAATTCATGCTATTTCTCTATGCGGCGGTTTCGATATTATTTTAAGCCTAAAAAACTATTTTTAGGTTAGGGATATGTGAATGGATTATATGTTGGTTTGGTATTGTAACTTTGCGAAAGTGAAATTGTCAGAAAATCAGATAACCAGTTCTAAGAAACAGAAAGTTAGGTAAGAGCAATGTCTTATTTGTAATTTAAAAGTTCAGTAAATTGGAAGAGAGAAACTAGTGAAAAAAAAAATGTTTAGTTATAGAAAGAACATTAAATTTTAAAATTCGTACGTAAATTTCTATTTTGTATTGGAATTAGTTCTTAAATGTGCGATTATCTACATATATATCATATCTGATGGTATATTTATGCATTTACCTACAATACGATTAAAATCTCTTTTTTCGGAATTGATACAAATTCGTACCAAAAAGGCACAATAGATCTTGTGGTCGTAATCCAGAGATCCCAGTGGAATCAAATCGGTTCAACATTCGAAGGTTGCTATTTAAAATTACTACCTACCCTCTGTTCAGAAGCTTTTAACATTCCTTAAAAGCGCATATGAAACAAAAAAAGAAAAAACTGCTTGGTTTCATTGAAATGTCTAGTTTTCTCTTTTTTTATTTTCCCTGTGATTCAGCCTTTCTCTTTAAATGTCTAGTTTTCTCTTGTTTTATTTTCCCTGTGATTCAGCCTTTCTCTTTTTTTGGTTACAAATTTCAGCAGCTGAAGAAATCAAACTGTGTTTATGATGTTTCAAACTAAATCTTATACTACTATGCGCTTAGTATCGTAGTCTCACATCCAAATCTAAACATTTAGGTATAAAATAACGATTTAAAAAATATCGATAACAGGCATGTACAATACATAAGTAATATAGGCCAGGAAAATAAGCTGGGAAATAACCATTTCGCGACTTTTTGTTTCGGCAAGCTGAATTTGTCACTATAGATGCTAAATATTATGTACAACAACATATTAGTTTCCACTGTCATAAAAATAGAGGGAAGATTGTTTACAAGGTGGTTAATTGTATAATTTTTACGTAAATTCACGTTTTCGCTTATAACTTTTTTCCGTTCATTTCAATGAGAAAACAGTAACTTTTTTTCGTCTGTAAACGACCTACAAAACTAGCCCTCGAGCGTCAAAAAATATTGATTAAATAAAAAATTATAAACGGAAGAAGTTTATTTATGACTTTTGAATTAAACATTTATAAACTGCGTTATTATTACCAGAACGTTTTGGCAACGCATTCTCTCATTCCTTATCACTGTCTAATAACTCACACGAAATCTGGAATTGCTAAGTTGAATAGTTTACAAGTTATGGCCTTATAAACAAAGTAACTAATTATTAGTCTGGACGATCCCGAGGATCTTCCACGATCGTACTGATTTTATTCAAGGTAGATTTCATAATAATACGTTGAAATCTATCATTTTTTTTTAGTTTCAAATTTGCAACCTGGAATTTTTTTAAATTTTTTAGCCTTAGTTGCAAAATGAAATATACGACGCACAAGCGTGATATAGTTATGTATTATGTGTTGTTTTTGAATGAATCTTGACGATTTTTTTTAACTTAAAGCTCTTTTCATAAGCTTTCCGAATATGTAATAATATGTAACTATATCACGCTCGAGCGTCGTATATTTCATTTTGCAACTAAGGCTAAAAAATAAAAAAAATTTCCAGGTTGCAAATTTGAAATTAAAAAAAAATGATAGATTTCAATGTATTATTATGAAATCTACCATGAAAAAAATCAGTGCGATTGTGGAAGATCCTCGGTATCGTCCAGACTAATAATTAGTTAATTTGTTTACAAGGCCATAACTTGTATACTATTCAACTTACCAATTCCAGATTTCGCGTGAGTTATTAGTAGAGAGCGGACAATGTGTGACTTTAACCCGAAGAATAGGTTAAATTTTGGTAGAGATGTGTACGCGTTCAAAAATGTATTGTGTATAAACTATGCAAAATATAATTATTATGTATAGCAAATATATCATATTATCCTCGCGAAGATTTGTACCCTTTATTTAAAATCCATAAATCATGTAAACAGGTTAAATAACGAGAAAATAATTAAGTTAATATAGTTCTAAAGAAATGAAATGACACTCGCGCCCATCTCTAGTCCATCCGTCGACATCGGTTGCGTTTATCGAATTCCTATTGGTCAGAATTCAAACTGCAGCC